CTGAAACTGGAAATATGGGGATTCATCTAGGAGCCCTAATTGATATTCAAGGGAAGAAGAGCTCCTTTATTCAATTCTTAGTAGATAAAGTATTGGATAAAATCATCTCATGGGCCTCTCTTCACCTATCACAAGCGGCAAAAGTAATCTTGATCAATACTGTGCTGGTAAGCATGTCAGCTCATGTGATGAAGTGCCTGAAAATCCCTCAGAGCATAGCTAACAAGATTGATTCGATAATTACTTGGTTTTGGTGGTCCAACAATGGGAATAAGGGTTTGCATTGGATGAGTAGGAGCGTCACCCAACTCCCCAAGAGTATGGGAGGTTTGGGAATTAGAGGTTCTTCAAACTTCAACGATGCCCTCCTCTTCAAACAAGAAGCTAGGATGCACCTTAACCCACAACTTCTTCTCTCTAGAGTACACAAAGGTTTCCATCTGTGTGGCATATGCAACATTGTGAGGCCTTATATAAGAAGAGGGAGCCCGTCTTTGGGAAGGTCAAGCCTTTGAAAGGTCACCCGAGCCTTCAAGGAAGGTTTTGCTTGGAAGGTTGGGAATGGTAATAACATCAAGGCAATTAGTATGCAGTGGGTGAAAGGGGAAACACCCTTGGTAAACTCGAACCAATCTCTGAGAGCCGCCTCGAACTGGAAAGTGAGTGATTTTATTGACAGGAATACTAATACTTGGAATGCAGGGAAGGATAAGGAGTGTTTCGAGTGGGATTGGGCGAAATCAATTCTGTCAATGGAGCTCTCGCATTCAAGTGAGGATGATTCCTCTACTGGAAGTACCACCCCTTGGGTAAGTATACGGTTAAAACTGGGTACTTCTATTTTTCAAAGGATTTGGGGTTAGAAAGAGCTACATTCTTGGCAAGGGATCAGGAGTTCATTAAGTTGGTGTAGAGAATGGATATCCAGCCAATGGAAGATTTTTTTGTGGAGGCTCTTTCATGATGGCATTGCAGTCAAAGTTAATTTGGCAAGAAGGGGTATACAAGTTGAAAGTGTGTGATCACTGTGGGGTGGAAGTGGAAGATAGCCAACACCTCTTTAGGTTCTGTAATCAGGCAAATGAAGTCTAGGAGAATGGCTCCCTAACTATTTGCCTTGACTCTCCTGGGTCCAATTCTTTAAACAGATGGATCCAACACTATATCCTGCTTTTTTATAGCGAGGATGGTAAGCATGGCACCCGCTGTGCGTTGTTTATTGCAACTCTTTGGGGCTTATGGAAAACTAGGAATGCTAGATGTTTCAAGGGTGCTTCGGGGACTACTAGCCTAGTGATGGAATTTATAAATCATGCAATGCAAGATCATGAGACTTTCACACAACAAGTTAACCCTACAAATGAGGCGGAGGCTATTAGTAGGGATAATCCAATGATACCTCCGGGTTTTAATCACGTTCATTCAGGGAAGGAAAAGATTGGGTATGATGATTTTATTGTGGAAGCCGATGACTCTTGGGATAAGAGGACTATGAAATCAGGTATTAGTTGGGCAGTTAAGAGTAATACCCAAGCCTATGCCCTCGATGAGGGTGGAAAACACGGAGCTGCAGCGTCCGTCATCCAATATGAAGCTTGGGCTTGCCTGGAAGCGATGAAGTGGGCTCGGGCTAAAGGTAGGCATGGAATCCTTATATTATTAGACTCTATATCACTGTTGAACAAGTTACGGGATAACCATGGCAAGGAGGTCTCGATAACTTGGATCTTAAAGGAGTTACGGGAAGTGCGGTCCTCTTTTCAAAGATGCACGATACTAAAAGTTCATAGAGATTAGGTTCAAAGGGCGGATGATATCACAAGACAGTGTCGGGTTACCCTCTCAAATTTGTTGTAATTTTGCTCATTCTCCTTTGCTTTTGTTAAAAAAAAAAGGATATTACATTTTTAATATCTCTTATTTTGCTCTACTTCCCATAATTGCAAGCCACATAAATATACAAACGACCATCACACGACTTTTATGACAAACTGATTTCACTAAGGACATGCTTGGATTGGGAGTAATATATTAAGAGAGTAATAAAAGTCAAACTTGAAAAGACATAAGTAATTAGAGGGGTTATTGTAGGAGACAAGGTGTTTACAAATGAAAAAAAAGTAGTTGTGCCTTAAGGAAAAGAGAGAGATGGAGGAATTATTATCCTCATAATGAGGGTAATAGTTATCCATCCTCCCCCTAGTGTAACTATTACCTCCAAAATGAGGGTATTAACTCCTCTTTCTTCACCTTATACTACACCATCACTACATAATTTTCTTACAATCACACCATCACTATCTCCTCCTTCCTTATTATTCACTTTAATTTTGCTTAGTTTGACTTTTATTACCCTAATAATACATCTCCTCCAATCCAAGCATGCCCTAAAAGCTAAGGAAACCAATTGGTTGGGCAATTTCTTTCTCCCATTCAACAACAACATCAAAACACGGAAATACCATGCCTGTTTGAAAATATCCATTATCACTCACACCACCGCCACTATCCTCTGACTCCAACTCCTTAAAACATAACACCTAATATAAGTACCCAAATAACAATAACAACAACAATAAATCATAATAATAACAATAAGTATGCAACTAATTATTATTATTATTATTATTATTATTATTATTATTATTATTATTATTTATTATTATTATCATCATTTAAAAACAAACAAAGTCATACAACTTACAAAAAATTAGCGAGAAGCCGAGATACAATCTGAGCCCCCATTCCTCTAGCTATAGTAAATCCTATCCTAGTGAAGATATGATCAGCAACACGTGCCCCAATGTCTTGAGTCTTCGAGAAATTCTGGATCTGCTTCAGCAATGCCACCGCCTCCTTCTCTAATTCCCCAAGTGAAGAGAAAGAGAAAGGAAGAAAGCCGTACCCAATTTCCCGGCAACTGGATTCGTACTTGATCCGCTTTCGATGAGCCGCATCAGCCACAACTTATCCAAGAACAAAGTCAGATAACTCAGTCCGTGTCAAAGGAGAAGACCCTGTCAAGTCAACACAAACATCGCGACCACGATCCCAGGAATAAAGTAACACATCTGCAGGTCTGAGGGCACCGTCGTTCCCACCAGAAAACCCAATGTCAACCTCCTTTCTAGCTGAAATCCCAAATTAATAACAAACATCAACAAGGGCATCTCGAACAACATTATGCCGATGTTTAATACCCACCATACCAGCACACGACACCGCGTGATCACCGAAAATATCCCCCGTGAAAACCCTTGAATAAGCAGAGCACGGCGTCGAGACAGAGAACAATGGAAGAACACCCAAGTAGTAGCACAACACACATCGATAAGTCTTTGCGTTCATCGTTTGACCCAACCCTGAAATAGGAACCGCCCGAAGCCAAGCAGAGGTGTGATCTCCCTGCTGCGATTCCCACAATGCTGATTGACGAGGAGATAAAGAGAAGGTGGATTTTGTAGAAGCGGTAATCTTTGTGAAGTATTTATCTGCCAATTTCTTCATGAGTTTAGGGGCAGCGACCTCACTAGAATTACTCAAAATGTTAGACTCAACCATTCTATTAAACAGACTCAATACATCCTCAAAGGCTTGACCAAGGCCAACAACGCCAGCATGTTGTAGAAGCTTTGTCTGCAACCCAGCAGACTGCAACCGAGAGGCAAGAAAAGCATAATGACGAACATTACCTGCGAAATAAACACTAAGTCCGCCAAATGCAAATGGTAAGGTTGCAAGCCGCCATTGCCAATCGCCAAACCCAGGCCCCGAAGCAGTAACGATACGCTCCAAAGAAGATCGAAGAGCCTCGTCGAAAGTGCGCTAAGCTACCTCAAAAGTACTATGAGGACAAGTTCGCAAAGCAAAGTAGAGTTTAGAAACTCCGGTACATGCCCTAAGCAACAACAACTTGCACTAGGGATCATCGAGCTTAGCAACCCTATCCATTAGCGCAATGGTCTTGGTCACCCTCTCCATCACAAGCTCACCTCCAAAACCAGAATCGGAACTAGCGAGACCACCAAGCAACTTAACACCATGCAAAGGTCGAGTAATATTATTATTATTATTATTATTGTTATTATTATTATTATTATTATTATTATTATTTGCAAAATCGGACAAATTAAAAAATATGAGATAATGCCCGGGAGAATTGAAACCTCCAGGATGAAACGTTGAGGTTTTCGAAACTTCTTGGTAGTTTCGAAAACCTTAGGCATTTTATTAAAATCTATCTATCTATTAACCTATACTAAAAGCAAATCCTTCCATGACACTTATCATTACCTTGTGAACAAATTTCCCGCCGTTTTCGCTTTTTTTTTTTTTTTTTTTTTTTCAAATTCTTTAAGTAAACTAATAATACCTTATGATATTTTCTTTCCAGTTTAACAATCATATTCCATAAATACCCAAATAAATTATTTCTGAATATTTTTTTATATATTTTATATTTTTGTAATATTATTGTCAAAATTATTTAACAACCGTGCATTGTACGGGATTTTAATCTAGTGATGAATATGAGCTAATAATGCTCAAATTTTGGCATTTTTGCAGATTTTGTAGTTTTTTTTTTTTTTTTTTTTTTTTTTTTTTTTTTTTTTTTTTTTTGGGAATCAAGCTGCTGAAATGAGCTATACCAAGCTTCATGGCCACCTCGCAAAGCAGCAGCTAGCTACGACCTGCTCATTGGCTAGTATTCGAAGATTTCAAGTATTAAATATAGGGGGAGGAAATAGCAAGGTGGATAGCCTAGTCCGCAGGTGTTTGTGGCTCGCAATGCTACACCGTAGCTTCTTGTGGACAATATGTTAGTCAATAGTCATGGAGGGAATCAACTCAACTAATAACTATGTTAGGCAATCAAAGTTAAAGTTAAGAGCATTTAACAGAAAATATCCCATTAAACATGCATTCAAACTTTTTTACTAACTAATGTCGTTATTTACGACTAAATAATAATTAGGAGTTATTTTGATAATTAAAAAAGTTAGGGTCACCAAATTAGAAAAAGTAGTGGTTATCATTGAGAATTTCGTTACCAATTTGTTTTTTTTTTTTAAAGTACGCCTAACATATAAGACACTTAACACTATTAACCGATCAAATCGATTAAAAATACTCCACTACTCCAAGCCTTTTTTGTTCTCTATATCCTGCCTTCCGGTTCCGGCTTCATCCGTCAACCGCCGTTCATTACTACTCGTTGGGTCTGTCACTTGTCATCTGACCCCTGTTCTGGTAATTTTCTCCGTTTTTTTTTCTCCCGTATTTTTCAATTTATTACTTTTAGCACTTTTGGTTTAAAAATTAAAATTTTGATGTATTATGTTATTAATTACTGTATTTGCTGTTTCAATGTATTGAATTGTCTTAAATTGTTGATTGATTTTGAATTGAAAAGCTCATAAGCCATTTGAATTGATTTGGGTTAAATAATTGCAGAGTTAGAAATTTTATCCGGTAATTCTTAGTTTGTAATGTAGAAAATGAAGGAGAGGGTTTTAATTTAGTGTAACAACTTTGTTATGGTGATCAGAAATTAGTAATTTTGGTGTTTTAATTGTGAAGCTAGTAAGTTTAAGTTGAAGAAAAACTACTTGGTAAATTGAAGGACAAATGAGAGAGAAAGAGATGGAGAAATGAAGTGAAAGAAATGATACATTGTTATTAGTAATGTTGTCCTTTAGTCTATGTTACTCGGGAGCTCATGGCGGATATGGGTATGTGTCTAGGTGTCAGACTTCGTTATTTTAGGAAAAAGTTTCCATTTTTATTGTACCAAAGGGAAGTGTCAGCTGTCAAGTCCCCTTAAAAGTGTGGAGGATCCAACACCGATACTTGAGATGAAATTGAGTGATAGGCTGGTTATATTTTAGCCGTAGTCGTGTGATTTCAAAGGGAGTGGTGAGAATTGAAGTTTAAGTTTGTTATGCCTGAGCATAGGTCCTTATTAAAGGGTTTTAGGGATCAAGGTGAATGCTATTTCCGATTAATTGTGATTTTATGCTGAAGTTCATTATTTCTTTTATTGCAAGATATTGGTAGAATTTTTTTTTTCTTCTTAATAAGCTATTCATCATCTGAGGAGTCCAGCTTTTTTCATGTGATAGATTTTATTGAGGATACGGAATGGAAAACAACATTATGTCATCTGTTCACTCGACAGTCTTTAAGGAATCAGAATCTCTAGAAGGAAAATGCATCAAGATTCAGGGCTATGATTTCAACCAAGGAGTAAATTATCCTCAGCTCTTTAAATCTTTTATCTCCACTGGTTTCCAAGCATCTAATCTTGGAGAAGCTATTGAAGTAGTAAATCAAATGGTTGGTACGAATTTTAATTTGAAATTTAAACTAAATATAACTATATTTCACACCATCTAATTTGTGTTCATTTGATTTTCCTGCTGTTGAAGCTAGATTGGAGGCTCGCAGATGAGCTACCCGCTGAAGATTGTAGTGAAGAGGAGAGGGATCCTACATACAGAGAATCCATTAAGTGCAAAGTGTTTCTTGGGTTTACCTCAAATCTAATTTCATCTGGTATACGTGACACCGTTCGATACCTTGCTCAACATCATATGGTGAGGGAAAAAGAAAATTATTATCTTTCATATATTTACGTTCTCTATAAGTTTTGAAATGGAGTTACATAAGTTAATTTAAATGATCTCCATGTGTGCATAAAGAGTTGTTTGCGGCTACATCTTTCCTCAAGTTGTAAAAACTAAATACATAATACATTGCTAAAAAATTTCTTTTGTGATTTGGCAAAAGAAGTAATATACCGATTTTTGCTATGTGTTGGAAGCTATTTGACTAGGGAAGTTTAATCAGAGTCTTCCTATACGTATGTGTATTTTATACATCATAACATTCACCTTCAATTTAGTATTTTCTGCTGCAAATAGTTACTAAAATATAATGACATGCTTCTGTAATTTTGAAAATCCCGAGTACTTTCTCATAAACATGCAGTCCTTGGACTAATATTGAGGTGGTAGTTTTTGGAAGCTCGGTATAATTTAAATCTTTTCCTTAAAGAATCTCATGTACTCCTTCTGTTCTTTTTTTTTTTTGTCTTTCTATTTACTATTCATTTGGTATTGTAATTATTATATAAAAAGTTTTATCATGTGGGATATTGTTAGTTTTTTTGCAATACATTATATCATATTTTCATTAATTTTACTAAATACAAAACTAGAGATATTAATGATCAAAGTAGTACATGGGAGATCGCACAAAACACAAATGGGAAGATAAAATAAGAACGGAGGTCGGAGGGAGTATGTGTTTAATGGCATATCATGTTAGATTAAAGCATTGGTCTTAGGGATTCTGGGTTTTATTTTTGGAAGCTAAAGACAGGCTGAAAACGTTTACTTGTGGATTCTTGGATCTAAACTTGTATCATTAATCATGTAATAGAAAGCAAGTGATTGTTTTTTCTTGATGGTTGACTAGGATGTCAAGATCTCTAAACCTTAATGTAGAAATTAATTTTATTAATTGCTTAAAGGATTCTTAGTCAGTAGAATGTGAGAGATTTTTAGGTCCATCATTCTTCAGTCTCTGGCTGAGAATGATTTTGTTTTGGGTTTCAGCAATTTTCCTTCACTCTTAATATTTTGCTCAAAAATCAAAACAAGCATTTTGTTCTTTTCTTTAAATTTGAAACAATGTTGCCATATATATACCTGCAGGTTGATGTGATTGTAACAACTACAGGCGGTGTAGAAGAAGATCTTATTAAATGTCTTGCACCTACATTTAAAGGTGAATTTTCTCTACCTGGAGCTCAATTACGATCAAAAGGATTAAATCGGATTGGTAATTTGTTGGTTCCCAATGACAACTACTGCAAATTTGAGGAATGGATCATTCCAATATTTGATAAAATGTTAGAAGAGCAAAATTTAGAGGTAATTTGTTTTTTTTCTGATTGTCTTATCCAGTGAATTAAAGAAGGGTTTTATGTTCCTTAAGATGTTTGTTATGGCTGTTTGTCATTATTTTTATACATTATTTTCTTCACCCAAACATACGCGAGACCTACTCAACGTCTCAGCTCCCCCCCCCCCTCCCCAACCAACGGTGGCCCCACTCCCCCCACTCCACACACACACAACAAAAAAAGGGGGGGGGGGGAACTCTTGCAAGGGTGTTATTTTGTAGTGTAGTACTCCCTTGGTTGATTGGCTCCACTTGAATTGTTAATTATCTGCCTAAGGATATAGCATTGTTCAAAGAAATCATGATTAAATTTGTCTGTAAATATTATATAAACAGAAAGTTCCCAAGTATAGAGCATAAGAATTGTTAAGTAAGACGGATAATCATTCATTGTATGAAGGCATTATTCTTGATAGCCTGTTGTTTTAAGGTTTACTATGGTTAGAAAGGGGCAAACAGCCAGACACTGCTTAATCAGCACAATGTTTAATGCTATTACCTGGATTTGGATAAATGGCAATATGTTAAAGCAGTAACTGGAGGTTGCTAAGGGTTTTGGTTAGCTTCATGAAGTACTAAAATGCAGGAGAGTTACTCATTAGGTCATATTTGGTTTGATACTTTGATAATTTGAGTTGCCACCCTCACATAGTCACATAATTGCACTGCATGAAGGCTTCATTTAACGCTTCCATTGGATGCTCTAACTTATAGACATTTGGCTCTGTAGGTTATATATTCAACTTTAATTGTATTTCAATAAAGTGTGAGTGGGTATCGTGGATTTTCTGGTTGGGTTAAGCTGTTAGCTTCCCATCAATATGGCACAGAATGTGCCAAAACATACCCATGGGCCATGGCACAGAATGTGCCAACTGCCAAACATACCCTTTATTTCGAGGATAAGACAATTTTTCTCGGAGGTAAATGCCTGCTAGTTAAGAGCAGGAACAAATAAGATAACCTAGCGAGTAAACACCCTGCTATCCGTTCACATAGAGAAAAAATTGATTGAATGATTCTGGATCCTCTTGGATTAGCTTACATATGAGAAACTAATCCAGTTACCCCAGGAAGTGTGCAGAAGCTCTCATGTCAGCTGATATGGATAGTTGCATGTCTCCGTACATTATTTAAATGGAGCTTGCAGGACACAAAAATTATAATAAGATGATAGGTGGCTTAGTGTTTGAATCCAGTATGTAATATGTACAGTCTACCTTGATGTCAATCTAATGCCTTTTTCCCCCTTTTTTTGAAGGGTATCTATGAATTCACACAGTTTCCTTTTCTTGAGTCAGGTGTCCAATCTCCTATTGAGAAACATTGTTTACTTCTCATATTTTTGGCTCTGGTTTTCATCTTATACAATAGACACTGTTACTTGTAGTCATGTTTTAAATGTGTTTGCTTTTTTTATTTTTTTATTTATTTTTTTCTCTCAAACAGTTTAAATGTTTTTGTAGAAGAGTACATGGACACCATCTAAAGTGATTGCTCGTCTGGGAAAAGAAATAAATGACGAGAGTTCATATCTTTACTGGGCATACAAGGTGAGGCACCTGATATAGCAAAACCAAATTCATTGATGGTCTCACCATCTTAATCACTGTTGAATTTTTTTTTAACTTCAAAAAGTGGTAATTGGTTTCTTAACTGTCTTTTGATGAATTGAAGTTGAAGTATTTCATAGTTATCATTCTGCTGGAAAACAACTCCATGCCTAAGCTGTCCACTTAATTTTGCTATTCTGCAGAACAATATTCCTGTCTTCTGCCCAGGTCTAACAGATGGCTCACTTGGGGACATGTTATATTTTCATTCATTTCGTAGTCCAGGTCTAGTTATTGATATTGTTCAAGGTATGTTGTACTGATTTAGCTTAATGCCAATACGTCTTATTATATTAGTCCACAATCTATAATTTTTTGCTTGTGTGCAGATATTAGGGCAATGAATGGTGAGGCTGTTCATGCAGCTCCTAGGAAGACCGGTATGATAATTCTTGGGGGTGGGCTGCCTAAGCATCATATTTGCAATGCCAATATGATGCGTAATGGTGCAGATTATGCTGTATTCATTAATACTGCACAGGAGTTTGATGGGAGTGATTCAGGTGCTCGCCCTGATGAGGCCATCTCCTGGGGAAAGATACGAGGATCTGCCAAGACTGTTAAGGTATGCCGCTTCCCTCCTCTACCTGCTTGCTGTGCTAACTGCTAAGGTTTCTCTTCAATTGTAGCCAAAGTCTCTGTAAATTGGGCACATCTGATGCTTGCATTCTCTTGCAACCAGGTGCATTGTGACGCCACTATTGCTTTCCCTCTATTAGTTGCTGAGACTTTTGCTGCTAAGAGAGAATGTTCAAGCTGATATTGGGTTCAGAGGGTTGCCTAACTTACTACTTATTATAATTAATTTAATGAAACAATTTGAGGCTTGTGATTGAATAAACATGAATTTATGTGATGCTGTCAACCTACATTGGGGGTAATAAGTTACCTTATGTTGGCATGATTTTCCAGTGGGAAGGGGCTGTTAAGCATAGGGTTGTGATCTTATTGTGGGATGGGGCTGTTAACCTATAATGATAGCACTGAATTGAGAGACTTGTTGAAAATTATTCTCTCCCCTTCCCAGTTCCCACCATTTCCTGCTGGTGTTGTTTGATGCTTGCTATAAAACAGACTGCCCAATGCCAATGGCAACGAAAATTAGCTAATGCTTTGGTCAGAGGATTAGAATTTTGCAGTTCTATCATATTGGTGAAGTTATGTGTATAGAACAACAATAGATTTTCTGTGTCTTGGATTTTGATATTCTGTTATTGACTTAACTAAGAAGTGTTGGTCCTTTATCATTGCGTATTGAACTTTTCCATTTGAATTTTAAGAACATCCACTAAGTCTACTGTTCATAGCAGCGATTAAATACTTAATTTTCTGCTGATAATATTTAATGGAAGAAACTACTAGTGCAAACTTAAAACCTCCAGCAGTCAATGCATGAGACTCATGGAGGAGGTTGTAGTGGAGTGTATCTTCCATCAACCATTACATAATATATTAGAATCCAGGATCATCTGCGTTATATCATACGCAGTATCTAGAACACATGCATGACTATAGCAAACTCTAGGTCCTATTATTTAAGGTGACTTCTTGGTCTGAGTCATCTGACTATGAGCAGTGAATGAAGTTGGAAATGCCTGTGATGGTGGTGTGTAAGGAAAAGCAGGCACCGGAGGTAGATCAGGAAAAGGTAAAGATGGGTAGCTCAGGAATGGTGGGAAAGCAAAAATATCAGGAATTACTTTTGACTGCTCACAGTTGCTGGTTGGTACTCGAGGTTTAGCTGGAAATGAAGGTAAATTGACCTTTGATACTTCAACGGGCTCCTGGATTGGCTTCTTTGGGGTAAACTTGATCTTCGGGAATGGAGTGGATTTCATAGGTGTGGCCGTTTGATCATTGAAAGTTGTTGCGAGGTTGAGCAATCTTTCTCCTAATGTCATTTCAAAGACCGAGAATGACAGTGCTAAGAAGAGAGCTAAGCAAAGGAAATTGCATGGAGCCATGGAAAGATGGATTATGAAGAAACAATACAAATTGAGTTTGTGAGTGGGAGAGTAAGTGATATTTCCTTATATAGTTGTTTGATTATGCCCTAAATTTAAGAAGGGACTAAGGTGATGGTGAATTTTACAAGGTACCAAATTTTCTTTTGAGCCTCCTTAGTTGGTGAAAATCTTTAAAGCAGTAATTTTGTAGGTGACAGATGAAACTTTCTGGTTTATCATCATTAGGTATAGCTCCATGCAAGCTTTGTGACATAAAAAAAAAGCCTAATTAATGTAATTCTATGCCAAGTTGTTTCCTTATCATAATTTTTTATTTTATTTTATTTTATTTAAAATAAAGGAGTACTTGTATAATTAATATTCACCCCATCTGAAATTAATAGTCACGATGGTCCATCCCTTCATAATTGTTTAGGATATGTAGATAAGAAATTAAACAGTTTAGCTCTTGAACTTCATATACTTTGTAATAGTTAATAATCTTTATACGTTTTTTATACTAAACATTAGAAGATACAATAGTAAAACTAATCATGAACCCATTCACTATTTTAGAAAGGTGACAAATTCACATCATAAAACAATGCTATACGCGACTATTATTTTTTGACACGGAGATATTATCATTACAGTAGTGTACTAGCGTTAGGCCTGCCAAGGGATAGAAATGTTTCCTTGTGAGTTGCGTTCTGAGGTATAGGGGTGCATTTAGAATGTTATGGCCTTCGGGTCTGAGTCTCACCATGTATTAAAGATGCCATGATGGACTCAGAGATGTAATGTATCAATCAATGTTAAATATAATAATATATACAAGTATATTTGTAAATGAAATTGTGGTATTCAAAAGTCATATGACTACATTAGAATCTCGGATGCACGATTGTAAATCTGTAGATTCTCTTATTGAATGGAGACAGCCTTGAGATAGGTACCAACTAACAAGACTCAAGATGCCAGTGAGAAAGTGCCCAAAGTTTGATATTCTAGTGCCAGTTTGGGCTGAATGTATGTCGTCTGTGATGTCAATGAGGCCGATCGTGTAATCAACGATTGTACTTGGATAGTATCTAGTTAGTTTCAATCATGCTCAATCGGAAGTGGTTAAGAGTGTTTTTAGCTACCTTAAGGGGTTAAGGGAGTATCTAAGTTACATGGCGTATTATAGACTATATATAGGGCTATTCAGAGTGCGCTCTACACTGCACCAAAACCGTAAACCAAACCGCAATTTTGTGGTTTGGTGTGGTTTGCGGTTTGAAATTTGTGGTGCGGTTTTCAAAAATGGCAAAACTAATTGCGGTTTGATGCGGTTTCCAAAAAGTTTTAGACTAAACCGCACCGCGCTTTAATACGGTTTGCGGTTTACACCATTAAATCGCAAACCTTTAAACCAATTTTATCAAAAAATATATAAAAGAACTTAAAAATATAATGTAATATTTGACTATTAAGTAATTTAAGGTTAAAAAAAGAGTTTAATATTCAAATTATAAGTTTATAATCACAAAATAAAGTAAAAGTTTTTCTTAAAAAAAAAAGATATTTCTAATTTTATAAAAATGTGGTTAAACTGCAAACCGCACCGCACCAAACTGCATTTTACGTTGCGATTTGGTTATAAGTGCGGTTTGGAAAAAATGAAAATTGCAATTTTGCGGTTTAGATATTTCTAATTTTAAAAAAATGTGGTTAAACCGCAAACCGCACTGCACCAAACTGCATTTTGCGTTGCGATTTGATTATAAGTGCGGTTTGGAAAAAATGAAAACCGTAATTTTGTGGTTTGGTGCAATTTGAGATCCAAACCGTACCGCGAACAACCCTCTATATACATAATTAAAAACTAATTACAAATAACCAGAAGAGTTCAACTCTATTACAAGCGTAATGAATTAACCATAAATCGATGACAATTAAAATTGAATTAAATCGAATTTAGCTACAAAGTTTAGACTCTTCATAATCGAATTTAGACTTATTGGTGGCTATATCTTATGCCCTAGTGTTGTAAATAATGTGAAAAATATTAACTTGATTATTATAAGTTTTGTAGCTGCAATAGAAATGAGATTCTATGTTACTCCAATTCTTCATTTTAATGCAAAACTTTTGTCGAATTTTTAATACTCGGACGTGGATAGAATACTTCAACTCTTTATATTTTTCTAAATTATTGCTTTCTTTTCAAAAAATAGACGAGTCAAACACTTGAATACGTAACATGTTAGGTATCTAAGTCCAAACTCCAAACTACATAGAATGAGACAAATAAACAAGATGGGAGGGTGGTGGGGTGGGGTGGGGGGAGGGGAGATTAGTAGATGTATTGTTTAATTGTATGTATCATATGGCCGAAGTATAGTAGTTTACTTTTAGTAATTGGACCACTTCCAATAGCATCCACACCTCTAAGTGATTCCCATTTAAAAGTCGGCTCTAAACTGATACTATTATGAATTACGATGATGTTATAAAAGGTTGTGATAGGACTCATAGGAGTATAGGACTCCAAAGTCCAAACCCATCCAAATAAAAGGAAAGTTCATTAGAATTTCTTGCAAGTCAAATAAAGGCGATCCCATTTTATGTACTAGTAAATATTCAAATAAAGAATGCTACAAGTAGCAATGCATGTAAATATGTAATACTAATACTTGTTGACTTCTTTTAGTAGTTGACTTCGTGCCAAAGTCTGGAACACGGCGCACATTGCGCATCATGCCATTAACTTAAATGTGGTACATTATACTCGTAGTACACCACATGCTATTATTGACAATTTGACATCTATCAAAAGAATAGAATTCCTTCTTCCCAAATTTTTTTCCCTACTTTCAATTTTTTTTTCAAATCACTATTATTTAGTCCTTGGTAATGTTTTCTACTCCGTATTGTTTATATCATAGATCATAAGTTTTTTAAACCTACTAAGTTAAAAAAGGAAGACTCATTAATGGTTGGAATAAACTTGATCACAAATATAATACTTCTTCTGTCTCATTGTCATCGTAGAAAGGTCTATACAAGAATTTAGGTGATTAAAAAAAGTGTGACAAGTCCAAAGACTTTCATATCTTTCTTGGTCATTGGTCATATCAATTCAATATGAATAGACGTAAATAGAATGTATGACAAATAAACTGAGACAAAAGAATTACAATAATTTTGTAAGCAAAAAAATTATTCAAAAAATAAGATCCGTAAGTTAAAATATATAAAATGTTGATCGTAGTTGTAACCGTATTCGGTGATATTTCCCGGTGGTTGATAATTTCTCATGTTTGACCATTATCACATTACATTATTTCATCAAAATCCAACTAAAATATACTAAATGAATGGTAATAGTAACAATGGGATCATAATAGTTTTTTTTATTGGAAACTAGTCATTTATGCACGTGATTCCTATGTCGACGTATATCATCTCTATTATAATTCAGGTTGTAATAATATGTTTAAGTGTAATTGTTTGTACTCGCTAGTAGGAATAAAGGGGAAAAGAGATGGAAAAAAAAAAAATATCAAAGCAATGTTAATGCTACTTGTAATAAAATGCTATTTAATACTACTTCTTATATACATTGCATACTACTACTTTAACAGCTACTGCCAAAAGCACCACTCTTTATTTTTTATTTTTTTCAAATTTTTTTTTTTTAAAATGATGATTGGGGCTTAAATTGATTGACTTGACTTTTTTTATTTTTATTTTTTTAAAAAAAATTTATATACATAAAAGTTATAATCAGTATTTTAGTAGAACATCACAGTTTTCCCATTTGACTTGTATAATAGAGATTTTTTTTTCTAAAATTTTTGATAAAAAGGCCATATAGAGAAACGGTGAACTTTCCTAGTATGAAACTGCTGGCAACACAATCAATTTATCAAATCAAATACACACATTTACACCTAAACTATTAAATAGATCACGTGGACAAGTCTTAAGAGCAAAAAATGCAAAACGTCCGATCCATTGTAATAAATAATAGAAGTATTATATAGACATATACTCCAGTATATATATAAGTATAATAACGTATATAATAAGATATGAAAATTTTTCTGGGCCAAAAAAAATAAAAAAAGAAAAATTTTCATATGATATTTCTTGCTAGTTTATTCGGTGAGTCCAAATAGCTGTTTTGTTCTGTCAAAGAATCATATACTTCGTATATTTTCTTGTCAAAAAAAAAAAAAAAATCATATATTTTGCCAAAAATTATCATTCG